CCACTCTATGGCTTTCGAGTTAAGGTCTCCAGCAACAATTAAATGTCCCTCTATGGACCTAGCCGTATCTTCAATGTCGTTGAGCTTTTCCTGTATGCTATCGCTTGGCGTCAGGTAGCAGCTTATTACTGTGAAAAGGTCGCAACTGGCCCAGACGAAACCGTTGCTGTTCCCTTCACATGTGATGGTGATTTTACTTCTTGGGGGTAGCCATATAGCGACGGTTGAGCTGCTATCTTCTAGCCAGATTCCACTCTCTTTCTTTCTATATTGTTCGCTTATGATGATTAAATCATAGCCGTTCTCCACCACCATCTGGGAGAGTAGTGCGTCAGCAGCCTTGCATCTGTGCATATTGGCCTGTAAGATATTCACTTATTCAGGTATTTCCTGTATACTACGCATTTTGCAGAGCCCGGTATATGGTCAACCGGTTGATGTTTGGCTTCTGTACAGAGGCAGCATAATGAAGGCTTTGTGCACTCTTTCAGTTTGTGACCTGGTTGGCCGCATTTTATGCAGATGCCTTGCCCTCTTCTATCAGGTCCTTTGCAGTCCCAAGTTAGGTGTCCTCGTCCAAAGCAGCGGAAGCACCTCTTTGCGTTTTCTTTGAGTCGAATTCTACAGTAAACCCAGCCAATGATGCGTGCCTGTCGCATCAGCGCTTCTGCTTTCTCAGTATGGAGCGTTATGTACGTCTTTGCTTGCTCTCTTGTGTTAGGTTTACCTTAATGTCTTCGTTTAAGTCCTTAATCGCCTCTTTTACAGCCTCTTCGACTTACTCTTTTGTTGTGAGAGAGTCGAGGTCTCTGATCTCGATGGTAGTCTTTTGTTTAAGGTCGGCCACCATTGCAGATTCTCGAAGGGTGCTTTTGAGTGCCTCGCAGAAGCTGGCCTTTGTGGTTTGCCCCTTCTCCAGTTCTAGTAGTATCGCCCCGGCTCTTGTTTTGCGGATTCCTTTGATCTTAACATCTGCCTCTTTAAGAATCACCTTGCTCCGGATATTCTTCAGGACCTCGGCGTAGCTATTACCTTCTGTTGGCTTAATGATCACGGTCTCTGATTGCCGCTTGATCCTATCATTTGCAGCTGTGTTCTTCCGTTGTGGTCTTACTTCTGCTGTTTAGGTACTTCCTTAACATTTCCTCCATCGGCCTGGGGCTTCTTCTTTCTTTTAGGCAGAACGTTTTGCCACTCGCCGTTCTTTTCATTTCGTAGCCGCACTGTTTCGCGAGGTTCCACAGGGCTTGTCGCCCGTCGCTTGGAAGTTGTTGACTCTGGGCTTGCGTGACGTCTGCTTAGATGCTCCCGTCTTGGTTATTTTTCCGCGGTAAGCCAGTTTTGCGGTAACTCTTGTTTACGTCGAAGAGTTCGTCGAGTTGTGCCGTTCCATTCTTCACGTCCATGCTGACATTCTTTTGTTTTGCCATCGCCATCTTCATTTTTTGTACGACACCCTTGCACTTCTCTAGAGACTCGTCTTCTGCGAGTCTCATTTGGGTAATATACTCTTCCTTCGGTAAATTCTGAATGGTCCAAGGCTCTACTGTGGTGGCAGCTGGAGTGCTCCCCGCTTCTGGTTGCTTTGCGGTTTCTGCTTGTGTAGACGGAGTTTCCCTGTCCGTCTTTCCTTCTTTGTCCGGTTGTTTTGGTGTGACCGTTAGTATAAGATACCTAAGTATCCTGAAGCTCCTGCGGAAAGCTGTTCCGCATTCCTCGTCTTGGATGTCTTTGTTTTGTTGTTTTTTCCGTATTGTTCTTTCTCTTGTGATTTTTGTTGTTTATGCTATTGGATCTCCGCTTCAAGCCGCTATCTCCTCACGTTGTAGCAGTTGCCATATGAACCCCGTGGTTATCTATGCGAGCAGGGAGGCCACGCAAGGGTTGACAAAAGTTCTTATGAGTGCTTATGTTCAGAGCCAGGTTCGGGCACGAATCGGGAGTTCGTCTCAATTGAACCTGTACGACCAAATTAATGGCGACGTGCATTGAACGTACTTGAAGACCTGCCAGGGTTTTAACGAGACAGAGGTGATTACAGCATTACCCTGTCAGCCATTTCGGTATTTACTCTTACCTACTGAGGTGACAGAATGCTGCTCTCACCAGCCCTTTGTCTACCTGGTCCGTTCCGAATTTCCAGTATACCATAATCAGAATCTTACTGGTCTCGATTCTGATGAGCGCTTGCCCGGAGTTTCTTCGACATCTTTGCGCATTTGGGGGCTGATCGCTGGATTGGTCCCTCTTTGCTTTGTTGCCTTCCTCTCGTTTGTAGGTTCTACCTTGGTGCAACCCTGGTGGGAGTTGTGGACGTTTATTTACAGGCGGCATCTATTCGCCTCTTCGCCGGAAGTTCATTGGGCGCATGAGGCTTTTTGAGCCAAGCCCTCCTCTCCAGCAGCTCTTGGTCGGGTGCTGCGTATTACTATACGCAGCTAACCTACTTAATCTAGGCCGTCCACTATCCGCCAGCTGTGACCCCGGTGGTAACCAAAATATATATATACCATATTGTTCCTTAAATACTTAACCCTTAAGAAATGTGGAAAATCCTGGAGGTGCTCCCCAAGGACTATCAGGTGGATGTACACCATGATTGTGAGACCGATTATCACGTATGGAGCGGTATCGTGGGGTTCGAAAGCATCGCAGACTTCGGTAGGACTTAAACTGTCGAAGCTGCAAAGACTTGCCTGCATCTGCGCGTCGGGAGCAATGCGAACGTGTCCGACCGCAGCACTGGAGGTCATGCTAGAACTTTCACCGCTACACCTGGTAATCAAACAGACAGCCAAACGAACTCTGCTCCAAATGACAGCAGAGGGAGCTGGCAAAGGGAAGGTAATCTCATCCCAGCAGATGAAAGAGCTAAGTGAGGAAATACCACTAGCCCTTCTCCCAAGGGATAGCATTACCAAAGTAGTAAACTTCAGCAGGAAGTTCCAAGTAACCCTTGGCAGCAAATCTGAGTGGAAGGACTCTGCACTAGACCTGCTGCTAAAGGGTTGCACCATCAAGTGGTACACCGACGGGTCGAAAACGGAGGAGGGGATTGGTGCAGGGGTCGCTGGGCCAAGCACCAAACTCTCCATTCCCATGGGAAGTTTCCCTAGCATATTCCAAGCCGAGGTCTATGCTATAAGTCGGTGTGTAGGAATAAATCTCCAGCGCAACTATCGCAATAAAAGTATCGCTATACTCAGCGATAGTCAGTCGGCACTAAGAGCGATCAATGCCTATTAGGTCAGATCTCTCCTAGTGATGGAGTGTATAGAACGGCTGAACAGCCTATCTGAGAACAACCGAGTGCACCTTATTTGGGTGCCTGGCCATAGGGGTATAGCTGGGAACGAACTAGCCGACGAGTTAGCTCGCTCTGCAGCCTCTACAAGAATGGTAGGGCCGGAACCATACTTAGCGGTTGGTCCACATACCATCAAAGAGCTCCTCCGCAGGGAGGAAAGATCAGACAGGGAGATACACTGGCAACAACTCCAGGGCATGCACCATGCCAGACTGCTAATGGAGGGTTACGACCTCAAGCGGTTCAATGCCATAATTAATCTCCCAAGAAACAAATTCCGGCTACTGGTAGCGTTCTAAACCGGCCACTGCAGGCTCAAGAAGCATCTCTTTAACATGGGCATAGCCTCTTCTGCAAACTGCCGGTTCTGCGACATAGAGCCGGAAACCCCCGAACATCTGCTGATGAACTGCACAGCAGTCTGCAGACGCAGAATCAAGGCCCTGGGATCCATGTTTCCACACAGGGATTGTATCGCCTCACTAGCACCCAGCAGAATTTTGGAATTTATCAATATGCTGGGCCTAGATGACACGATATGACTTAGGGGAGGGCACAATAGACCGTAGGTCGCGGTGCATACCTCAAAATTAATCAATCAATCAATCAAACCCTTAAAATAAATTCTACAAACCCATGGTATGATATGACTTAATAATGAATCAAATCGCTATGCTTTTAAATTAGCCAAAGGTCCGATGCATTTCATGTAAATATTAATTTAAATTAATAATGATGTAGTTATGTATATGTACATAGAGTACAATAACTTATATTTTATTAAGTGCTACATTTTATATTTCGCAAAATAATATAGTTTTAGTGTCTAATTACGAGGTAGCTTACGAATCGTGCTACAAAAACAAATCATAATCACTTTTTTTTATCACTTCATTACATTTATTCTTCTTTTATTGTATAGAAAATTTTAACTTGTTTTACAAAATTAATTATTTTAAAAACTATGGACCGTAAATGAAGTCCATGCTTAGCTAATCTTATGCGACACCTAATTAGAAAATTATTAATTGCGACCTGAAGGGTTGAAGTCGGGATTGCCTCAATTATCGATTTAATAGACTGTTTCAGTTCAGTCAGATTTCTGGGCTTTGGCTTGTGTACCTCTTGCTTGACATAACCCTATAAAAAAAAGTTTGGTGCAGTCAGGTTAGGTGACCTTGGGGGACAATGGAAAGTGGATTTTCTTGATATTAATTTGTTTTCAAATTTTCGTTGGAGCTCCACAATAACCAGTCTGGCTGTGTGTTGCTTGATCTTGCTGGAACTAAACGCTATTGAAAGGGATATGTCTTCAACGTAGTTTTGGATAAAAACACTCAAAAACCATCTTTAAATAACGGTGCCCATTGATAGTTACTGTTACACCGTTTTCTTCAAAGAAGTTTGGCCCGACATACACCTTGAGGAAACTGCGCACCACACAGTGACTCGTTCTGGGTGAAGTTCCGTTTCGAAATTTTGGTTGCTAACATTTCCGTTTAGATAAAAATGTTAAATCCAATTAAACAATGATTCAATTTAATTCTCTTTGGACGGAAATGACGGACTGCAACATAGTACCGCTGATCTTTTTGGTATCCTAATTTTAAAATTTTTTAATAATAATCTGCCAAATAAACAAAAGCAATTATTACCTCATATATTCATTCTTCATTTCTAATATTATAAATAGGGTGACATATTTGCGGGAATCAATGATGGTATCCTTAGTAGAGCGGAAGCACTGGCGGCGGTAGATATGGGTAAACATCAATCCACACATCATCACAGTCAAATGCCGGGTCAAATCAAACATGACGTTATGTACCATCATCATAGTATGGCTGGACCTCCGCAACGACCACTACAGGTAAGACTAGACCGATTTCATTCATATTACACACTTAACCACATTATGACTAAGATAAAATATTACACGTCTTTATAAATATAAACGATATAAAGTCAACTTAAAAGTTGAATATCACTATATTGAGTATATCTGAGCCGATGGACTAACATTTAATTTTGCATTACAATAAATTAATCTTCAGACCACGCTTCCACGCAATTTGATTAATGTAAAATGCAACATCACACACCCATATACATATTTAGTTCGTGGATTGTATATTTGTATTTCTTTAATATATCTCACAGATTCATCGATATTTTTGGCAAAAATTGAGTCATTCGCACTAAAGTCCTCATATTAGGCATCGGGGCTTGAAAATTTATTCGAGTTTTAGTTATTATAGTTTTCGAATATTTTTAGATAAGAGGTTCTACACATTGAATACACTTTTCATGCAAAGTTTTATTCCGATATCGATGCTTGATATATACATTTTAAAGTGAAAGAATCAGATTGAATTGAGAAGTAGTAGGTGTGGTTGTAGTCCGCTTTCACCCATTTTAAAACTGTAACATAATATACTAAGGAATTGTATTTCACGTCAAAATGGGCGGTGCCACGCCAATTTTTCATGTTTAATTCCAATTCCTTTGTATTATCAAGCTAATGCACTTATAGTATACTTTAAATAGTAACTGGACTTGGTTATAACACGATTTGAATAACTTTTACGCAGTATGATTAAATACTAGAAGGCTCTGTTTCCACCGACTTTGCTTAGTAACAACCTTGCCGGCCGACCCGCTGTGGTTCGACATTTTTGGACAACTTTAACCGGGTAACAACCATTCAGCGGACTGGCGATTAGACTAAGGAGTATAATACTTTGTCTATGCATTCAGAGCCAGGTTGTTATTTGAAATTCAACATGTGTCTCTTTGTCACTTTACTCTCAATATTAGGAGAACGATTGAATTAAATGTCATGAAACTTTGACATGTTATTGAATTTCTTACAGCAGAAAGGTGTTATATAAGTTTCATTAAGATAACTGACAAGTTGAACGATAAAACCACGGATACCACTAGATACTTCGATGCCTTGTATCAAATTAAGTTTGGTTCATAACTTCTGGCATAGTTATAACACTTTGTAGTATTTCGTTAACGGCATTTTGCGACTGTGTCAATGAAATAATTCCGTCTATTTGCAATACCAAACGTTTTACTTAAGTTATCACTTTCATGCACGGACGGACATACAGACAGTCCCCCGGAATTGGACTCGTCTCTTCATCCTGATCATTATACATATACCTATATACCTCTATATCTACATATATTGATTAGTTTTAAGTTACAAACAAACAAAAAACTCTGTTGCAACATGTTGCGTGAGTATAGTCGTTTTTGTATAGCCTAAATGTTTTTTCCACAAAGATGAATATATTATTTATTCTGCATAAAGTTAGCCATTTCGCTATAATTTCTATTAGAATGATTTTTTTTGCTAATTTAACGGAAATTTGCTCTTGTGAGAAATTAATTTTGTGAGGATTCTTCTAAGATACTGCCACAGTACAAGTTGGTCAAATTGTAATCGTAAAATCTATCAAATACGGAGAAAAAAAATGTCACTCTTGTGATGAGCTCAGTATGTTCTACGTGGGCAATGATTAGTTACTTTTGGCTAGTTGTGTATCGGCTGTTAACTTGAACCCTTGAATTTGCATAACTTACGAATATTTCTACTGATTGTTTTCATTTGACTTGCGTGAAAAAAAATCTGTTAACGAATTTCCTATACATCAAAAAAAAAAGTGAATAATTGAAAAACATTAATATTGATGAAATAAATACCACCACTAACTTGTGCTAGCAACGTCTAGCTCTCATTGTGTTAGTCAAAACGAACAAGCGGATTGATCGTAAATAGTTTTTAGCTATCTCGCATTCGCTCAGCTGAAGTAATCGAATTCTCTTTTAATGAATTTATGTGTATGAAGAAATGTACTTTAAGACAAAACAAGAGAAAACGTTAACCTTGGTTGCACCGAAGCTATAATACCCTTCACAAATACAAAAGATTCCATACAAGAACTTGGTTTAGATCGGTCAGTTTGTATGACAGCTATATGCTTTAGGGGAACACTTCGGAGACTGAACAATTTCTTTGGAGATTGCACAATTGCCTTAGAAAATATGAAAATGTAAAATTTTTGAAGATATCTCGTCAAATGAAAAAGCTTTCCATACAAGCGCTTTATTCCGATAGTTCAGTTTGTATGGCAGCTACATATACAAGGTGCGTTCCAAAGTAAACAGTAAAAAAGTAACAAAGTAAACTCTAGTGGCGCCATCTATATGTCGACTAGTGCGTTAGAATCTGCTATCCTTTATCGACTTCCAGTAAAAATTTCATAACATTTCATCTATTAGAAGTGTAGTTATTGCAGTATGTTTTAGTAATCGGTGCAAAAATGAGCTTCGAACAAAAAGCCAGCATTAAATTTTGTTTTAAAATTGGTAAAACGTTTCAATTGATGAAACAAGTATTATATATGGCGACGATTGCCTATCCCGTAGCAGAGTGCACGAATGGTTTCAACGTTTTCAAAGTGGTCGTTAGGACATATAATAAATGAATAAATAGACTCAGATTATGATTTTTTGCATCCGTCGAATTTATATATATATATTATAGGGTCCCCGATTTTTCCTTCTAGGTGTTACAAATTTCATGGAAATTAATTAATACCCTGTTCAGGGTTAAACTATTATCGTGTATTACATCCTCGTATACGATTACTGTTTTGACAACATTTGGAAAAGTTTATTTCTGACTATTATTGTTATTAAGACATGTCTTTAAAACAAAAATGTAAATTAGGAACTTTGTCTATCCATAAAGTTTTCCAATTTTGTCTGTTGCGCTCCAACGCCTTCAATTTATTAAATGATTTACCAGTTTCATTGCGAATTGGATTTCTGTAAGTAGTTTTAGGCTCCTCTCGATTTCTATTAACCTGCGGCGTCCGTTCTAAAGCTGAGTGCTAACCATTGATACTTGCACCTTATAATCTCCTTTTCGAATCTGCACTGGGCTGTAATTTTACTCTGATCTGCTGAGAAAAAATTGAAAGGTTTCCAAAATTAACCTTTTTCTTCTTTAGACCAAATCATTATTGGACCAACCTCGTATGCTCCAATAAATCTTAAAGAACAACAATTACATTCTGTATATTTATATACAAGTATATATAAGGAAAGTGCGGAAAGCATACATTTGGATGAGATCAAACATTTGACAATACCATAGGTATGGCAGACAGCTCCTTATATCACGGTGTGAGATATACTCAAAGAGCAATCATCTCGTATCGATCAATATTAACAATGTGGAACTGAATAGGTATAATTTTATATGCAGGAGTCATACATGACCCAGTACACTTCTCAGAAACTTCAGCAATTTAAACAAAGTTTGTTGAAGTACATTTTTGGTAAGATCTTAATACAAATTCGCTTACTTGCTTAATTATCATGTAATGCACCTTTACTTTATATTATAATTATCAGGCATTTATAATTTTCAAAAATCTACTAAACCTGCACTATCCAAATGATACAGCATTCGTTTTTGTTAATATTATTCAGAACTAACTATTCAGCTGTTTCCATGTGTTTCTATCAAATCAAATCATGGAATTCACCTGAATGAAACAAATACAGCAAGCGATATATAATATATGTTTATAAGAAAGTAAAGCGCAAAAATATTATTACATTAATCTATATATACTTGTATGTTTATTATGTGCTTGCATTAGGAGCCAATTTCGATTAGTAGTTTACTCCAAGGCACTTGAAATGTTGACAGTGGCATTCGGTGAGTCTACTTTGTTTCAAAAATGTGTGTATAAGGGGTACAAGTGCTTTACAAAAGGCCGAGGAGATGTTGATGAAGTTGAGCATTCTGGAGGTGCGACTACGTCAACAAGCGAAGAAAACATCGAAACAGTGAAAAAATTGTTTTTGAAAATCGTCGAATTACTATTAGGGAAGTTGCAGAGGATGTTATCATATCAAACGCCTTAGGTCATTCAATTTTCTCGAATATTTTGAGAATTTAACGTGTGGCAGCGTAGTTTGTTCCAAAATTGCTAAATTTCCGGGATCCGGGTTTGTTCAAACGGATCTTAACTGGTGACGAACTTTTTCCTATTCCCAAAAGTGAAGAAACCAATGAAAGGAAAGCGTTCTGCCACAATTGATGAGATCAAGTCAGAATCGAAGAAAGAGCTGATGGCCATTCCAAAAAGCGCAATTCAGTAGTGCTTCGAGGATTGGAAAAAATTGGCACAAATGTATTATATCCAAGGGGGATTACTTTAAAGGGTACCAAATAGATATTGATAAATAAATAAGTACTTTTCAAAAAAATTCTAAATTCACCTTTTCCTTTAAACACACCTTGTATATTATATATTATCAATATATAGACTCCTTTATTATAGGCGTCTTGAGGATAAAAAGGAGAGGCCTAACGCTGGCTAAAATATTTATGGTATATGTAAATTATTTTTATAGTAGATACACTCAAGAGTTTGTTATTGCGTGCTAACTGATGGCCGCCTCCTTTTCATTTCATAATATTTTATTTTAATTTTAAGAAATTTGCAATATAGTTTTGATTAAAAGTAGGTGTAATAATTGTAATAGTGTAAGTTTTATATAAAAGATAAAATATTAAATATAGAAATGGTTTGGCCACAGTATAACTACCTATTAATTTATATATTTGCATATGTATCACGAAAACTCAAGTACTTTATATCAAAACTCTCTCGGCATATCCTAACAAAATGTGGAACAAAAAGCAATCCAATTCAGTGTCAGATAGATTTTTAAACTTAAAATTCTATATACTCATTTTGAAAAAATGGAAGGATGGAAATTATCATATGCGGTATATGGAGGAAAAATGTAACGAATATATGCATGTGTTAACTTTGG